CTGCTGAAGAATATGGTGGATGAATTTCGGCGACATGGTCTCCGGCTGAAGAATATGTTTAATGGATTTCGGCATTATCTCCATGATACTCTCCGGCTGAAGAATAAGGTGGATGAATTTCGGCATTATCTCCATGAAAGTTCCGCCATATGAAAAGTACGGTGACTGAATATCAGAATTATCTCCATAGTAATATTGGCCTAGTGAAAAATATTATTTACGAATTTCTCCCATCTATTGCAATTTGCTGCCAAGATAATAGATAAACGAATCATTATTTACCAATAAAAACAATTTCTCAAAAATTAAGATTATACGAGAACAAAAAAGTAACTAATTTTTTTAATTAAAGAATTAACTAAAAAAGTTATGCGTTTGAAGTTTTTGCTCCTGTAATCAAAGACAATAGTAACTTTTGCCATTAATATTTGCTTCTCAAGAATCTGACTTCTAGTCTTGTTCTCAAAATGAATAAGTTATAAATAAAATGAATATTTGAATAGCGTGTCTAGTTCTAAAAACTAATTAATTAGTACGTGAACATTAAGTATATTATAGATCCATTAAATTTACATGTGATATCTAAAATAGTCTTTAACGGAAAGGGGAGGAGGGATCGGAGGCAAAAGAAAGGGAAGGAGAGATAGGCATCTAAAAAATATAAAATATATTATTTTATAAAATATTTTACGAAATTCAAATGCCCTCAGCAGGTACATAAAATTATAATATATCCATGGCTCTTCATCTAACAAGCTTACATCTACTTGTGTTCTTTTAACGATCATCTTTTATTTTCAGGTCAGATTTAGCTCAATGAGACAAAGTTTATCTCTTCAATCTGATCATAAAAGACATGTTATCCACATCAAGATTTATAGATTCATAGATACTGTATAATTTTACTTCTAATGAACGACCTAGTACGTAGTAAATAAAGTAGCATCATCCTTAACCAGGAGCTAAAATCCTCAGCTTTCTCATGGTGATTTTTTCAATGAGGTTCATTTGAGACTTCTATGAGGTGTCTTTAACAACATTTTTGCTTTCAAAGCATAGGAAAAGTGCAAACTCGTTTCAAGTGTTGCACTTGCTAAGTATCTGACCCCAAAAGTTGTTACCACTTAGAGAAAATACAGACCAGAAGAATTGAACACTGAGGTCGGTATTTGCCCACTCAAATTGTTGTTTGACAGCTTGAGAAACGTCATTGTTGTTGGCAGTTCTAGTTTTACTGTGAACAATTGATTGTTGGATAAATCTAAAATCCCTAAAGAGCTGATATTTCCTAAACAAGAAGGAATACAACCTGTGAATCCATTCTCGGCCATCGTTAAGCTCCACAGATTTGGAAAGATCAAACAAATACTGTTTGGAATTTTCCATTCATGTGGTTGTTGGATATATCTATGACTTTCATGTTCGGATTTGGGTGTTCTTGCAACTGCAAAGTACCAACAACAGAGTTCTCGCTCAAAAGTAATTGCTCCAATCGTTTATTGTTCTTAAGCAACCACGATGGAAACATTCAAGTGATGTTGTTGTATGAGAGATCAAGGACTCTTAAGTCGTATTGGTGATAAAGGAAGTTGGGAATTTCTACATTGACTGCTTCTAATGTTCTACTATATGTATAAAAGTGGAAAAAGACTAGATGGAACTTTGGAATCAAATCATGAAAGTACATGGGTTTTGTTACTAGTCTGTTGTTCTCACTGGAGAAGAACTTGAGGCTTGAGTGGTTCATAAAAGGCTTCATTGAAATGGGAACTTCAAAGAGGTTATTTGATAGTGAGAGGGATTCAATGGATATGAGATTGGTAAGAGGACCGGAGGCAATATTTCCAGTAAATTGGTTACCAGAAACATCTAATAGTTGTAGAGATGACAAGTTTCCCAAACAATCTGGGAGTGAACCTCTAAAATTATTTCCGGAGAGATCTAACTGCTTCAAATTCTTCAATTCACACCAACCTGTACAATTTATCTCGAAATAGTCAAAATATATAGTGTTGAAAGAATCTTGAGTGGAAGCAGAGTTGTTAATTTACCTTGACACGTTGGCCAACAGACAATACTTTAAGGGTAGGTAATGTTCCGGTGTTCTGGAGAAAGTTTAATGGGAGAGAAGTACGATCTAGACGCAATTCTTCAAGAGTGCTCGAATTGAAGAAAGTCCCTGTGAAAGAGAAAGAAGAAAAGGTAAGGTGAAAATAGTGGTGGTACAGAGTAGCCATTCCTTTCAATATTATTAATTAAGATTTTAAGAAACTAAACACTAATTTACGTTGACTTAAAGTAGTATCCTTGAGAGAAAGGGTCTTGAGGGATGGTTTTTATTCCTTATGATTGCGTTTTTGTCAAGGATAGATTGGAAGTATCCATTTTGTGTGTTTTAATATAATCATCTGTTAAGCTTGGCTTAACAAAATGAAGCAGAAGGGTGAGAAGCAGGGGAGGAGAAGAAGGAAAACAGAGAATTGAGAGGCTCTTACGTAATCCTCCTACCATTATATTCTTACACGGTTTCTTACAATAATTGTCAAGAAGTAATTTTTAATCATCCGAATTTTTATTAATCTTTAGAGATGAAAGCGCTGTCAAACATGATGAAATGCTATCATTGATTACTAAATGGATATAAAGTCCTCAATTTTCTCAAGGGAATGTAACTTACTATTGTTTCCTGTCAACCCATTGTTTCCTGTCACCCCATTGTCTGATAGATCCAAAGACTTGAGAGAGGCAACCCATTGAAACATGATAAAATGCTTTTATCATTATTAAATCGGTTCTCACTTAGGTCAAGTACCCCATTGTCAAGTGAAGCAATTAGATAGAACTGTGTATTATACCTGATCCTGTCAACTTATTTAATGATAGATCCAAAGACTTGAGGGATGAAAGCCCACTCAGAATTGATAAGATGCTACTGTTCAATTGATCGGTTGGAGTTGAAAACCTACAAGATATATATATAGTTCTCAAATTATACATCAAAAAAATATACAGTGCATAGATTAAGGAAGAAGATAGACTGCAAGTATCCGTTCTATACATCGTCACTCGAAATTTTTAATCATCCTAATTTTGGTCCAGCTCACTTTAATCTCTTCCTGTCTTATTAAAAAAACAATTTATGGATAAGTTGAAAGCTCCATAGATATAAATCTTCAGGGATGAATGCTCAGTCAAACATGATGAAGTGCTATCATTATATTGATTGTTAAATAGATATAAAGTCCTCAGTTTTCTTGATAAAGAAACCGTATAAGAGAATGCAACTTACTATTGATACCAGTAAATCCTGTCAACTGCAACTCATCAAAGCTAACATACTGTAAGATACTATAATATCCACTGCAACTATACAAAGCTAACATACTGTAAGATAGCTAACATACAAAATATGTGCAGGGCTAACACAAATTCTTCCTAATTGAGTCCATCTTGGAGGTCAGAAGGCTGGAGTTCTACTAGAAGAAGATACCTCTGGAGAGAGTTATCAAGCAAGCCGGAACTGCTTAGAGTTTAGCTACCGAAGCTTCAAGTTAAGATCATTTTCATTATGACAAATTAAGCTAACTACTGGCAATTCAATGAACTTACTGGCAATTCAATTCAATTAAAAGTATGGAACTTTATGTTTGTTTATTTTCTTTTTACATGGATGAGGCAATCAGAACAGGAGAGGAGGTCTAAATACGAGCAATGAAGCACATTATTGCAAGGAAGACAGATTATGCCGTTGCCCTGTTTTAAGTTTAGACTTGTGTTCTTTCAGTAAACAAAATTATTGCTTTACCACATTCCACCTTGCTGGTATGATCCTTTGGTTCTATCAATTATTTTTTTAATTGAGAAAATACGATACTGTAAACTATTACAATTGTGAATAAATTCCATATTATTAGGGATATAGAAATCACAAGAAGCCAAGAAATATTGGTTGGTTGCTTATCTAAGACCAAAACGCAACATAATTAAGACTTAACAACGAAACAAACAAATATGGATACAAGCACAAGGACAAACACAAGTCATGTCAAAACAGAAAGGCTAAGCAACAAGAACCAGACACTTCGACCGAACACTTCTCACAGGCAAATTGCTGAACATGTTGTGAGCAACCATTGATTTGGAATGCGACTGCTTCCCCACAGAGGATTGCAACAAATTCAGAAAGCAGCCCACTCGCTCATGATAAGATCCAATCACCTTCTGAATCTGGACAACTTGCGAAAGTTTATAGCCAAAAAGCAGTAGCAAGTGTCGATGCATTCTTCAATGAAGTAAAACCACCTGCGTCGCCGATGCGGATTTATGCACAGTACTGCTGCAATTGTCAACACCGCAATTATGTAACACACACCAAAGCTGGCATAGAAACTGTACATGTCTATGAAGCCACCATCTCCATTGAAATCGTTAGGCACTCTCGCTGATGGTGATTCTGTTTTGTCGCAACGGTTTTGCAATGGAGGTCCACAAAGAAGAGGATTCCCTTTATAACTGCTTTCATCAAAGGTACCAAACTGATTTTTCATCTCCGGTGTTCTTCCTGACAAATTATTGTACGACACGTTGAAAACAGCTAGAAAGGTCAGTTCAACGAGTTGTGAAGGAATTCTCCCATTCAAATTGTTGTGAGAAAGATCCAAGCTCTCTATCTGCTTCAGATTGGAGAAAGATGGAGGGATCAATCCAGTGAGATTATTTTGTGACAGATTTAGAGAATATATCCCACTTAAGTTTCCCCATTCTGTCGGGATTTGTCCAGTGAATCTGTTACAAGAAAGATCCATAACAGACATGTAACGAAGGATATCGCCTTCGTAAGTGTAGAAATTTTTCTTTGATGTAAGCTCTACAGCTATTTTTACACTGATCTCTGGCCACAAAACTCCCTCATAAGGATAAAAACCTTCGTTTTCCAATTCTCTTCCCCCTATGGATGCAAATATATCTTTCTGGATTCCACCATCTGACATCTCCGTACGAGGGGGATCAAAAGTTTTTTCATCCGATGCCGTAAAATTTAAATTGCTCAAACATGAGGGTAACAGACCAGAAAAATTATTTTCTGAAAGATCCAATATGCTGAATTTCCTTAACAAGCATAACTGATGAGGAAGTTTCCCATTGAATTGATTAGATTTGAGAACAATCCAATTTGGAATGGGCCCAGTTAAGTTGTTATCGCCGAGATCTAATGTCACCAACGAAGAGAGATTATAAAAATCGTATGGCAGTGGACCGCTCAATCTATTTCCGTATAGGTGGACATAGCGTAAAGATGTTGCATTGAAGCCCAACGGTAATGACCCAGACAGATTGTTTTCAGAAAGATCTAAAAATTGAAGCGCAGAAGAATTGAAATATTCTATTGGAATGGTACCTTCAAACTGATTTCTGGACAAATCAATTCCATGAAGTTGGGTTTTTGAAGAGTTCCCTATTCCCCTTGGAAGCATGCCTGACAAAAGATTGTTACTGATATCCAACCACAAAAGTGATGATTCAAGAGAAAAAGTACCTGGTACTTCTACAAATTTGTTTCCATCTAGAAGGAGGTAATGTAGGTCAGTCATGTTGAACACAGATGGTGGTAATCGCCCATTGAAGCTGTTGTTGGACAGCTTCAAAAACCACAACGAGGAGCCTACTGTTGGCAAATTATGCTCAAGCAGTTCACAAGACATATGATTGTTGGAAAGATCCAAGTATTGGAGACAGCTCATATTCCCAAAACAAGGAGGAATACAACCTGTGAGGCTGTTGTTAGCCATCATGAAGTTCTTCAAACGTGGAAAAATCGAACATATGTTCCTTGCAACTTGACCATGTATGTTGTTGCTAGACATATCTACTGTCTGAAGGCTGGGTGTTGGATGTTGTGGCAGCTGCAAAGGACCTGTAATTGAGGTGTCTCTCAAATATAGTCGATTTAACTTTGTATTATTCTCAAACAGCCAAGATGGGAAAGGTTGTCCAACGAATTTGTTGTGGGATAGATCAACAACCACCAAATCATGTTGGCTATGCAGGAAGTTTGGAAATCCAGCCTCGAGTGGTTTTGGAGTACAGTTTGAAGCACGAAAGAGAAGAAGCTGGAACTTTGGAACTAAAGGCTGAGAACTGGGTGCAGCTATTAGCTCATTGCTATCGCATACAATGAACTTGAGGTTGGAGAGGTTCATAAATGAACCAAATGATATTGGAACTTGAAAGTAGTTATTTGAAACTGAGAGGTATCCAAGCTGCGTAAGATGGGAAAGGTGACTAGAGGCAATATTTCCCTCCAATTGGTTGTAAGATAAATCCAAGGATCGTAGAGATGATAGATTTCCCAAACAAGGAGGGAGTACGCCCTTTAGATTGTTTCCGGAGAGATCTACCTCTTCAAGATTCTTCAGTTCACACCAGCCTGCAAAATATATCCATATGTTCATTGTTAAGGGAATAGGAATATATCAATTATGTAATTGCTAAGTACGGTTTTAAAGTTTTTGTTGATTTTTGTTTCATTAGCTAGGTCGGTTTTAGATTATATTTAAACAGCTTTGTTTGTTTTATATATATATATATTAGAGATTGGTCATTTAGATTATTGATATCCATAATTTTTTTAATTAAATTTTTCTAGGAACGAGAAATTTTAGAGATTGAGAAACCCTAGATTTTATCCTTTGCTAAATGTAGCGTAAAGTTAGGAGTAAGCCTTCAATTGACACCAACCTATACAATTTATAGTGTATAGTGTTGAAAGAACCTTGAGCGGATGGAGAGTTGTTAATTTACCTTGAGCGGGCAGGGTGCCATTGAGGTCACAGGAACCAGCATACAATTCTTTAAGAGCGGGCAATGCTCCGATGTTCTGGAGAAAGTTTAATGGGAGAGAACTAAGATCTAGATGCAATTCTTCAAGGGTGCTCGAATTGAAGAAAGTTCCTGTGAAAAAGAAAGAAGAAAAGGTATGATGAAAATAGTAACCATTCCATTCAATATTATTAATTAAGATTTTAAGAAACTAAACACTGATTAAGCAGTATCCATGAGAGAGAGGGTCTTGAGGGATGGTTGTTAAGAGGAGGATGATTCTGTTATTTCTTGCGTGCGTAATCCTCCTACCATTATATATATATATATATATATACTTCCCCACATTCTGTTAAGAGGAGGGATGGTTTATTCTATTGTTGACTAACTCTAACTGACTCCATGCATCTGCCAGCTACCCTTAATTTAAGACTCAGAAATTTTAGATCCAAGATAAATTCATCAATATATTATAAATATCTAATGAACAGCTGTCATTTGGATTTCAATACTCTTATAATTGTTCTTTTGTAGAATTACCTTGAGCAGGTAGGGTGCTATGGAAGTCAACTGTGGTCAATGATAGGACTTTAAGAGTAGACGAGTGTCCAATGTTCCTAAGAAAGCTTGCTGGGAGAGAAGAACCATCGAGGACCACTTCTTCAAGGCTAGACGAATTAGATAACCCTGTGGAACAGATCAAATAAATCCATCAATATATTATAAATATCATATTGTTTTAGGCACCAAAACTGTCACTGACCTTTCCCAACGTGTTTAAATTTACTATTACGGGCATGTAAGGTCTTGAGGGATGGCAACGCTCCCAATGACTCTATGAAAATGCTTTCCTTGAAGTCATTTGAAGACAGATACAAGATTTCTAATTTCCTTAAACCTGTGATAGAGAGAATTAACAATCAATAATAATGATTTACAATAATTCAATAATTTCTAATGTTACGAGACATAGCTTAATTTTTTAAATTAAAATAATTTTTCATATGATATTAAAATTTTATTAATTAAATATTCACCTTCATTTATTTTAAAAAAAAATTAAGAAATTGAACAAAAGTTAATAGCGTGTAGATGTAAGTTTCAAATTATTTCACTCGTTAAAGAATTAATTATATAAACCTTTTTAAGGCTTCATCCAAACAATTACTTAGGGGTTAATACACGTGTAATTATTAAACCTCACTAGGGAATGCCATCTGAGGTAGGAATGATTTACAACTTTACCATTGAGACCAGTTGATCCTGTGAAGCTATTGTTTGACAGATATAGAGATTTGAGAGTTGAAAATCCACTGAGAGATGATAAAACGCTGTCGTTCAATTTATTGTCACTAAGATGAAGTTCCTCCAAATTCCTCAACCCTGAAGCTAGCACTTGAAAACCTGAAAGAAGATTGTCAGAAGGATAGAGTGGAAGTATCCATTTTGTGTATTGTAATATAATCATCTGTTAATCAGAAGGAAAACAGAGGAATGACTCTGTTATTTCTTGCGTGCGTAATCCATTTACAACTTCCCCACATGCATTACACGATTTATTATATTGTTAACTAACTCTAACCGTCTCTTAACAACTTCTAACACGTGTCCATGCATCTGCCAGCTACCCTAATTAATCTGCACTAACAGTGACCATAATAACAGCTGTAACAATATATACCTTTAGGCATCCTATTTATATAAACATAACAACATAATAACAGAAAAACAATTTATATAAAAATCTTTAGAGATGAAATTAATTAATGCTATCATTAATTACTATGTAGATATAAAGTCCTCAATTTTCTTAAGAGAATGCAACTTACTATTGATACCAGTAGATGATCCTCTCAGCTGATTCCCTGACAGATCCAAAGACTTGAGAGATGAAAACCCAGTTAGAGATGAAAAGATGCTATCGTTGCATTGATTCCCACTTAGGTCAAGGTTCTCCAGCCTTTTCAACCTTGATGACAGGACTTTGAGACCTGCATGATGTTCCTCAAAATTAACCACAAAACTCTATGTGGTTGATTATCAACTTAAAAAAAACAAGAAAAAATAAAATCATTTGCTTGGTCTCACAAATATTATCGCAGCATCTCTTGACTTCTTGCTCCTTAGCTTCAGTTCTTCTGCACTGGCTTTCTTCTTCTCACAAGGATATTGAATATAAATAGTTTTTTCATGATAATACGGCATTTTCTATCACTATAATCCACTCTAGGTCTAAAATTTGATCTAGAGTTACTACTACCAAAATTATTTTCTTATACTATTTTTCTAACACGAAAATTTTTCTCTATCTCACACACACACAAATGAGAAACGTTTACAATTAATGTCGTATTATAATTGACATTATTTTCTACTTCTCAAATCTTAATTATCCTTATATAAATAAATCATTTTTTTACCCCTCCCTCCCTCCATCAAGTTATCATTTAACTCCACTTTTGGGATTATAATAAATCTTAAACTTCTTTAGATTTTTTTCCTACCCTTGAAATTGTTATGAATACAAGTAAAAGAGATGAAAACTCCTTTATCCCCGTGTCGAGCATACCCTAAGCATGGCTAGGATTTTGTTTAGCCAATTTGTTTTTTTTTTTTATGAAATTGAATATCATTTCAATAAACAAATAGCAAGTAAAAATGTAACTACTAAAATAAATAGCATATAAAAAAGAAAATATTTAGAGTTGGAAATAAATCTTAATTTTTAGCATTCTCATTCTCTCTCATCTGCTAATTGTAAAATGAGAAATATTTGATAAGTAGTATACAGAAAATAATTTTTTTTTGTATTTAAAAACTATATTATATGTGAAGCTGGTATAAAGTCAGTATCACTTATTCTGGAGCAATAAATACATCCTAAGCATGTACACTAAGAAAGAGAGAGGATACAAGACATTAATTTGGATTTTGAATATAAATACATGTATTGAGTTACATATTAATTTGAAGTTTACCCGAGTTTGGTAAGATGAATGTCAAAATTAGTTCTAAGAACCAAATTAGTTCAAATTATTTTAAGAGTCAAACCACTGGATATAGTTAGATTTGATGTAGGAATTTTTTTAAGGAAAATAGATATTTTACTTAGTTAATTTTATTTTTTATTCATAGTTTGATTTTATAGTTTTTTTCCTATTTATTTATATTTATAATGTTCTTGATTTTTAAAAATTTTAATTTATGAAAACCCTTCATTCTTCACTTTTATATTAGACAACATTTATCTAGAGACCTAGTTTGAAAAGCTTTGGATCATAAGGACTTCAAATGCTTTGGGCCATGGGTAGAGATTTGAGAGGTGGTTTCCTAACGGATATGGGCTAAATATATATATTAATGCTTACTTTATTGGATAGGTAAATGCCCCGCAGGTAATAACCACGATAGGAGTCTGACTTAATTAGAGTTGATAGGGCACAAATATATATAATGTGCTACGATTAATACAAAAAAATTATAATAATAATTAAGGTTTTCTCTTTTATTCAGCTTCTTGCTACTTATTTTTGGGTCTCTTCAAAAACAAAATATTAAAAAGAATGTTAACGCCCTTAAAAAATAATTAAGAAATAATTAAGAAATTTTAAAAATACAAAAATTAAAATTTCTGATGAGCTGTTTGCAGACTATTCTGATTTGCTGGAAGGGTTTCATAGATTTTTTGTCAATTTCTGATGTGATAATTGATTTGAAAAGCAAATTGCAGATTCTAAAAATATAAGGAAACTTGAATTGTGATCAAATTGAGTCATTGGTTTTATATATAATATTTTTCTCTGGACTGAAATATCAGTGTATTTGCTTGGTTTAGTTTTGCATGATAAGTGAAAGTAGTAAATTTGTTTTTGAGAGTGTATTAGTAATTATTTTTAAAGTATTTTTTATATAAAAATATATAAAAATAATAATTTTTTATTTTTTAAATTATTTTTATATCAGCATATCAAAACAATTAAAAACAAAAAAAAATTTCAAGACAAAATAAAAAATAAAAAATGATGAAACTTTGATGAGCCTCAGCGAAATCATCTTCAATATTCCCTGACATCATGCTGGTGGCTTTTGAAACTGGAAGTTCCTTGAAGGTTTTTATTCTTCTGCTTTTATACCTTTTTATTTGTTTGGTTGGTGAAGCAATGGGGCTTAATATTATGGTTTCTTAAGTTTGGTTGGAATCAAGGCAGAGTGTTTTAGAATTGGAAGAGCTGGCTGTCTTGCCTATGTTCTTTTTGGAGGATGCTGGCAACGAAGGATTTGATTGGGTAATGAGGTCATGTGGGACAAAAATAGGAGTCAGTGATTTTTCCAGGAGTAATGTTTGATGGATTTTTGAGACATTACTCTGAAATTGAGGCTGTTGTTGAAAGAGAATTGAAGGTGGTTGGTGAATATTTTGTTATTTTAATGGAAACAAAAATGACAAGTGATCAGTTTATTCTCAACAACGTTCAGATTCGTAACGAGGAACAAAAGAAACATGGTGACATTGGCTTTGGTTGCCTCGACAAGTCTTCTGATCAACACAAATTCTCTGTTCTATGTTGATAAAGTACTATTTTTTTTTTAACCAGACATACTTTTTTTTTCGGTGGGATCAGGCAATTTTACTTGGTGAGTGAAGCTGAGAAGAAAACATGGCAAATCCTGCCAAGGAAGAAATACCCAAACCATTGATCTTCCATGATGAAAGATTGGCTTTCAGGCCAAGTCCAATAGCTACATTAGCTATGTTCATATGATTTCTATTTGGATTCATTATTTTCCTTATTAGATCCCTTCTTGGCATGCTATTACCTTACAAGTTGTCCATCGCCATGCTACCCCTAACAGGAACGAGAGGCATCATAGTGAAACAAAAACCCTTGACTCCACAACTTAATTCTGAAGGCAAGTCAAGGGGCACACTCTACTTTTGCAATCACAGAACTCTCTTTAATCCAATCTGGATTAAATCACTCGCTATCAAGAAACCTCTCACTGCAGTCACATATAGCGTAAGCATGATTTCTGAGCTATTTTCGCCAATCGCGACTGTCTAACTAACCAGAAATAGAGAAAAGACTTCGAGCTAGTACAGGACTTGCTGAGCCAAGGTGACCTTGTGATATGTCCTGAAGGAACTACTTGCAGGGAGCCTTATCTACTTAGGTTTAGTGACACGACGAAAAGATTGTTGTCTTCTCCCAAGTGCAGGAGTGTCGAAGTAATAAATAACCCGGCAAGACCGGGGTCGAACCACAGGGAGGTTAATTGTACAAATTATAAATAACAATAATACAACAACAATAACAATAACAACAATAACAATAATAATAGTAATAACAACAACAATAACAACTGAAGGAACTACTTGCAGGGAGCCTTATCTACTTAGGTTTAGTCCCATGTTTGCAGAGCTAACCGATAATACATTTCATATGGCCACTAATGCTCAAGTTAGCATGTTCTGTGCAACTACGTACAGCTAGCGGTTATAAATGCATGGACCCTCTATTCCTGTTGATGAGTCCTGTTGTAAGTTTCACTGTCAAAACTTTTGAGAGGTGGCAAAAGCCTTGGGTTTTGAATGCACTATAGCTTGTCATGAAAGAAAAGTACATTTTCTTGGCAGACAATGTGGAGTAATTTAACAGGGATAAAGACCACCACTTCTTGCCACATAGTTTTGTCATGAACTTTGTTTTACGTAGTCACTGTTCTAGATTGTGATCGAGGAATTTCACTTGAAGTGTTATAGTGTTTCAGCTACTTGCATTTGAGAGGAAAATTTATATTTTTTCTAACCTTCATAGAGAATTAGTACTGTAAAAAGGCAACTAGGGATTAAATCTTTTGTTTTTACCATCAACTAGATTGAATCTAACTAAACTTAGT